TAAAGTCCAAAGTTCGATCTATCCAACACTACCCTTTGATCGATCGAACACTTTTGTCCTTATTCAAATGATTGATCTTATCCACAGCTATACCACCCACTAACCACTTTTGTCCTTTTCCTAAAAATATCTCGGATTTGTCTTTTCCCAAAAAGCTCAACCAGTTGGATCGATCAAGCCTCAGTTTGATGGATCTCAACTAGTTCAATCGATCCAAGTCCAAGGTTCAATCGATCGAACTTCCTCCAGTGCGAAAAAGTTAAAAAGCCAGCTTGTTCAATCCGTCCTCTATCCAATCATTAGAGAATATTCTTTGCACGACCCCAGCTTATTTTGTGTGTCACTTGACCTACCTACAAAAGGAATATGATGCACTTTTTGAGAGAGAGAGCATTTGGTATATTCAATTCTAGGGATTATTCTCAAATGAGGCTATTCTTAGTGTAGAAGAAAAGAGGAGGAGGCTAGAGACACCATTGGAGACTCTTCATCATCAAAGGAGCAAATCTCAACCATGGAGTTAGCCCTTGAGGGTTGGAGCAACATCATCATGAGTGGCTAGACATCCTCTTGGGGCTAGAGTTAGCCCCAAGCAGGCTTTCTTTATCTTAATCTTGTGTATTATTGAGGGATTAGTGTTGTAATTAATGTTTTGACACTTTGATATATATAGATCTTGATTGTTCAATGATTTATGTGGTTAAATGCTTTCAATTGATCATTTCATTCTATCCATATGTCTATGTATGTTAGAATAGATGTTCATGTGCTTGTCTCTAGATTTTGTGTTATTGATGCATGTCTATATGTATTAATGCTATAGATTTAGAGATTGTCAAAACATAGTGCTCAATGGAATGCTCTTGTGATTTTCTTGATGGTTCATACTTATTCCTTGATGGATAGTGCCTCTCCCCTAGTTTATTTTCATGCTAGTAGTATAGATGTAGTGTAGTTGTAGTGTAGTGTTAAACAGGAGTGCTTATTGTTTGATGATCCAAGCTTTTGAATGCAAGTAGCATATGTCTCTAACCTTGTGTTGTATTTGGATTGTGAGCTTAATGAAAAGATTAATGACTTGTTTTGATCTATTGTGCCTTTCACATGTTGTTTAGATAATATATGCTTCATTGCTTAGATATATTGTGCCTTTCACATGATGTTTAGACAATACATGCTTAACTAGTCATCCTTGCTTGTAGAATCAACCAAACACACACACACACACCAATATTGGAACACACCATTTGCCCTCATTAGTCACTTGTCAATGATATAGAAATGTATTGCTTGGTGGTGATCTCTAAACCCCATGACTCTTCTCTCTCTTACTTACTCCTAGTTGCATTCTTTTGTTATCACTTAGTTTAATTTAGTTGCTCTCTAGTCTAATCAACCAACCAACCAATTGTTTGATCACTCGACCTACTAGCCCTAATTGTAATTCCACAACCTTGTTCGACCCTCACAATCCCTTAGGACGATCCCTACTCTCCCTAGCTATATTTATAATGAAAGGTAGTAGTGGTTTTGATAAATGTAAAACTCTTGGCCCTCGCCTTAATGCACACTCTCTAAACTTGATTGTGGTGCAGCGACACATTGGTCAACATATTAATTGTTTGATATCCCTCGGGTTTGGGCCTGGGCCTGATCAACCCGCGTCTCGGATCCGAGGGGTATCACAAGTCATAACAATGTTAAACTTGTTCAGATGGTCAGTCACTGAAGCGCCTTCTAACATTCTTAGGTTAAATAATCGCCATATCAAATATACTTTGTTAGACGCAGTGGGTTTCTCATACATATTTGATAGGGCAGTCATCAAACCTGCTATTGTCATTTCCTTTGCTATGTTGAAGGCAACGTTGCATGACAGTGTCAATCAAATGACCCCTAGTGCCTGCCGATCAAGAAGAGCCCAATCATCATCCTTCATCTCTTATGGTTTCTTTCCAGAAAGAGGATGATACAACTTCTTCTGATACAGATAATCCTCAATCTGCATCTTCCAGAACCCAAAATCTGCACCATTGAACTTGTCGATCTTGATCTTTCCTTCTTCTATACCCATCGCTCCCATTCGAACTGATACCAGTTGTTGCGAAATTAAATAGAAAAACAGAAGAAATAGATCAAACACACACATAACAAGATCACATACAGATTTTAGTTGATTCACCCAAAATTCAGGGCTACGTCCAAGGGTTGCAGGGATTTCACTATGATGATAAAAAACGACTACAGATATAGAAAGTTTAGAATGAATAAATACTCTCGCATTAAGGCAACATAACAAGTGCGAAAATAACCAAAATACCCTCCAAATAAGTTGGGTCTTGGTGTACAGTATCTATCAGGCTCCACACTACCCATCAGGTATAACAACGTACATAACAGCTTTGCAGCCTTATTCTCTTCAAAACCCCAAATTGGACCTTTCAAGGGTAAGAATGTAATTCTGCCTTAGGAACACCTCAAACACTACTCCCCCAATCTTCAATAGGTAATATACACTTGCTTAAGTATCAAACCCATTAAACATCGCAAGGTATATCATTGTTCAAGTTCATATCAGCAATAATATGGATAAACCCTAACTTTTAGCTTTTACCAAACATTGACTCAAGGACCTCCAATTCTTCCCAAACACGGACATTCATAGCTTCAACTTGGCATTTAAAACATGCTCAATTGAATACTCAATGTGTAGAAGCTAGGATATAACAATAAGGCTTAAATACAATAGCAAAACAAGTCACATAAGGTTCTGGTTTGCTGCAATAGAGAAGTTTCTGTTCTGAGGGTATTAAGGTAATTCTGCTGTGTCTCAGGTCTGAACATTACTCTCTCAACCTTAGGTCATCTTTTTACATAAGCTTAGAATTCAAGAACAACAATGTATATTCAAATATCAGTCTTAAATACTGCTCTCAACAAGATTCTGCAGAACTTAATGGCTAGAGGTAATTCTATAATTTTGATGTCGCACAGCCCTAGAATTTACCCTTCCAGACTTGAATCAATATATTAGACTTGCTCAAACAAAGATCATCACATATGCATTAAGATATTCAAGTCTACTTCATAGCTTTAACAATTATTTCAACACAAAACCCTAAACCTCAAGGGTTTTAGAGTTCAAAACAGGTTTGGTCAATTCTTGGGAATGTATATATGAGTTCAATGCTTTAGACCATCATTTTAAGCATGCTCATACAACAAATATCCATTTAACAGCAAGATAAACCAGTTTAAGTTTCAATTACAATAGTTTTGCACCAGAAAAACAAATTAGAGTAGGTTTGAGGTATGAGAAATGATACCAGCTTAAGTATAAATGTTTTGATGCCTTCTGCAAATGTAAATCCCCAAGTTACACATGTTTAGCCCTCATTACAACTTAAAAAACAACCACAACAAATTTTGGGTCTCCAAACTTGCTTCTTGCACTAGAAAAACTGAAGGCAGTTACTTCACAGGATTTTCATCTTTTTTATGTTGTTTTCAGATAATAAGAGCTACACAAATCATCAATTAATCCCTCTGAAAACTTTTTAAACTTTAAGCTCTCGAGACCTCTTGTTTACACTAGCTACACTTTAGCTCATAAGGCATTTTTCTATGCACACTCCCTGAAGCCATTTAAAATAATATATTTATACTGCCATTGTGCTGCCCTAGTGTGGATAAGTGTGAGCCATTGTCCACTAATCATTGGATAGGAAATATTCTGATGCTATATACTGTGAATGGTATAAACTACCCCTATACTCTCTCAGTATTTGTCACCAAAAACACATTTTCTACAGCCTATACTATCATTGTATGTGATGACCCTGTGGGCGGGTATGTCATGGGCGGGTGCGAGACACTGACAGGCTACCACACTGGCAAGCTACGAGTGTACAATCCCATATCGCCTGGGAAAGGGAAATGTGAAGTGCTTATATGTAGGTGTGTCACTCCAATTGGTATGAGGCCTTTTGGCATAAAGCCCAAGAACAAAACTATGCAGGCTCAGGTCTAAAGCGGACAATATCATACCATGTGGTGGAGTGGGTCGTTACAAATGGTATCAGAGCCTGACCCAGCCGGAAGTGTGCCGAAAGGGACATCGGGCCTCCAAGGGGGGTGGATTATGATGACCTTGTGAGTGGGTATGCCGTGGATGGGTGTGAGACACTGACAGGCTACCACACTGGCGAGCTACGAGTGCACAATCCAATATCACCTGGGAAAGCGAAATGTGAAGTACTTATATGTAGGTGTGTCACTCTAATTGGTATAAGGCCTTTTGGGATAAAGCCCAAGAGCAAAACCATACGGGCTCAAGCCTAAAGCGAACAATATCATACCATGGGGTGGAATAGGCCATTACAAACATTGTGATGACCTTATGGGCAGGTGTGTCGTGGGCGGGTGCGAGACACTGACAGGCTACCACACTGGGCGAGTTACGGGTGCACAATCCCACATCGTCTGGGAAAGGGAAAGGTGAAGTGCTTATATATAGGTGTGTCACTCCAATTGGTATAAAGCCTTTTGGGGTAAAGCCCAAGAGTAAAACCGTGTGGGCTCAAGCCCAAAGCGAACAATATCATATCATGTGGTGGAATGGGTCGTTACAAATGGTATCAGAGCCTAACCCAGCAGGAAGTGTGCCGACGGGAATGTTGGGCCTCCAAGGGGGGTGGATTATGATAACCCTGTGGGCGGGTGTGTCGTAGGCGGGTGCGAGACACTGATAGGCTACCATATTGGGTGAGCTATGGTTGCACAATCCCACATCGTCTGGGAAAGGGAAAGGTGAAGTGCTTATATATAGGTGTGTCACTCCATTTGGTGTGAGGCTTTTGGGGTAAAGCCCAAGAGTAAAACCGTGCGAGCTCTGGCCTAAAGCGGACAATATCATACCATGTGGTGGAGTGGGTCGTTATATTATACAATGCTGATATATATACAACTAAGAATTTCATTTTCTTACCATTGTCCTCTCACTCTAGGACCACTGTGCACGTGGCACAATACTGTGAGTCCTTCATTGCACTAGAATTATCAATGTAACACCAGAAATGCCCTCACTTCAGGGTTATATTTGCTACCCCTTGTGTGTGTGAATATAAACCAGAAAATGACCATTACATTGTATAACAGAACCTTTAGGAAAAGTACTCCATTAACACAAAGTGTAATGACTTAAATACCCCTGTGACAGATACCAATAATGAATGAGTAGCCATGAACCCTTTTGATAAGCACATGACATTAAAAAGGCAAACCTCAACTAACACAAACATCTTTTGTGAAAAGTATACACTAAACTGCGGATCCAAGCTTGGGTTTTTCAGATACGGGACAGCTGCAGAGAAAATTTAAAGGTTCAGTTAGAGAGAAAATAAGTTCAAGAGAAAAAAGAAGCAAATAGAAGATATAAATATAACTATATATATATATATATATATATATATATATATATAACCCACCAAATTAACCACGAATTCCTAACTGTCTCTGTTAGTAGTTTGGCTTCACGCTTGAGAAGTAACTACCCACACAAGTTGGTATTCTCTTTTAGGGAAAGGGGCTTCCTTAATGATAATGAGAAGATAGGCACACCATATGACGAATCTGAAGCGCACAAACCATTTAGTATGCTTCATTCCCTGAGAAAATGAGTAAACACATTGATTTCCATACCATACCTGTTTGAGTATCAATTTGATAAAGATAACAATTTATGGAGGATGAAGATAGAAACCTTGAAATTTATCAATGCATACATGATAAATTAGGGCTTCGGTTTGACGCCAAAGTTTTCTTCGAATGGGAGGAAGGGGGTTAGGCCTTCGAATGAGAGATGAAGGGTTAGGGCTTGGATAAATTATTTTGATATGTTACAAAAAGATTGCTTCAAATCAGAGAAAAAGGGGTGAATCCTTGTTCAATCTCGACGCCTATTTGTGATAGACCTTACAGGGGCACTGCACACCCTAAAACTCAGGGAACTTTTCAATCAGCTGTGCCGCTATTTTCTCTCCAACACTGCGCTGCCCGTCGATTCAACCCTCCGTTGCTCCTTAATAGTGGAGATTTCGAAAATCAGTGGTTTCGGTAGAAAGAGGGTTAGGCTTGGAGAGAAAAGGAGTTAGTCTTGGAGAGAAAGAGGGTAGAGAGAAACGGGCTTTGGAGATATATGATTGATTGAGGATAGAGAAACAGGCTTTGGAGATATATGATATATATATATATTTTTGTGTGTATATCGAGTATATATAATAGAGTATAGAGAAAAGGGGGCTTTGGAGATTGATATATGATATATATCTTTCTGTGGGTACAGATGTATATAATATATATATATATATATATATATACATATTTTAATTTACTGCAATTCAAACTAGCGGGAATAAGACCCACGTGAATTAGAAAAAAAGAATTCCTTTTCTACCGCGGGGCTTACCCGTGGTAGAATATAATTTCTATCGCGGTTTTCCATTAACCACGGTAAAAAATGTGTGGTAAAAAACTATTTTTCTTATAGTGACAATATACATATAGTAGTCCTTAAATTCAATTCCTATCTTAATGAGGAAATATATCTAGCACCATTATCCAATCATTGGCTACGGAATAATATGAAATTCCCTTTGTGTATAGACCATAATACCCCTGCCACCTTTACAGAAATTGTCTACTAGATAACAATCTAATTGACAACTTATGTATGTATATATATGACAATATATATCAATCTTAATCACTAAGTAATGAATAACAGCCTGCATCTTCTCACACTAGAACCATAAAACAAGTGTCACAAGAATTCTTAGTAATTTGCATGGTCCAAAATGCCCTTATAGAGACACTTGTCAATATACACTGTCTTCTGCAGCTGTTACTGTGAATACTTTATCAAACTGAGAATCAGAGCAATTCAATGAACAAGTGTATTATGATATAATACACTTGTTAAAAGACTTAATTGCTCCTGAAAGACTCTGTAACCAAATATCAACTTCTGTATAGGGGCCTGTAATGATTGGCTTGTAGTGTGAACTTGTAACACAAGATACTTTACTTAGGCCATTTAAATAGTATTCTCAACAATGTGGAATGACCAAGCTGCCCTTGTAGATCAATATAAAACACTATGCATGTCAGAATCACTTAAAACACAATGAAGTGGACCCGCGACAGTCTTTTTAACATTTAAAAGGCAAACCCTAGTTCAAAAGTGGGACCAACAATCTTCATCGCCATACCATGTAAATCTCCAAATATACAGAACATCATTATTATAATGCAATCATAGAATGAAAGTGGAATTTAACACAGAGAATTGGTAATTATACATAGTATGGGCATCCTAGGGGTGCCTAACCCCTTCCTGAAGTGTAAATAAACTCCTGAAACCCACCATTAGTGTAGAAGACCAACCGGTAGTCATTTTAGGGTCCGCAACTCCAGGTGACTTAACATGACAAAACCAATGTTAGGTGGTGACTCCATAAAATCTCTGATTTGGCCTTATCTTCACACCCCACATCATAAAATCTCAAGTCCATAGACACTTTGTCGCAAAATATGTTCATGATCTTTTCCATGGTGTGACAGCTGACCTCCAACCTGGGGTGATAAGCTCGAGTGGGTTACCAAGGAAAAATCTTGGCGCGACACCTCTCATTATCATGGCCAGTACTTTCCTACCTTTTTTTAATGTCATTTTCTAATTTAATTTCTATTAAAGAATTAATATTCCCTTAGTAAGTTATTTGTATTGTATAAACGATATTGCTTATTGATATTACCATTATTCACACTATTGAAATACTGTGATACATTGATGTAATATTTATTTTATTGAAAGAATTTTTAATTGATATCGATATATTGTTCAATCATTGTCTTGAATCATGAATTAATTGTGTCTCAATATAATCGATGTATTGTTCTTAGTGTTCTTATAAATACATGCAATTTCCCCAATAGTCTAGATATATTATAGTTGTGGATGGTGTTTAGCTTCCTTTGGAACCAGAGGAAGTGAGATTTCAAACTAAGTGTATCCGAATAGATTATAGTTGTTGGCACTAATAGTCATTTGAATTATAGAGTGTTAGGCCTAACATTCTATGGGTTGCCACTTGGACTTGGTCGACTAAGCTAGCTTAGTTATTGGGCTACTTAATTTATATAGGTTATGTTAGGTCTAATCCTTCAACCTTCCCTCGGATTTGAAAAAAAAAAAAAAAAAAAAAAACTTCCCAAGTTTTATTCATATTGGCCTTAGGTCCATGCCCTTCTAGGATCAACACTATGCATTTACAAATTATATATATACTTGTTTAACCATCTCGGAAAAGAAAAAACATAACCCCAACAAGGTTATCTTTGAAGAGGAAAAAACTTACTATATGGGCTAATACCCATTGGTAATAGATAATAGGGTAAATTACGCTCACCTCCTCTCTTTTTATTTAAAAGCTCAAATAGCTCCCCTCAATTTTTAAGAATATCATTCACCTCCCCTAAAATGATGTCCGTCTAAGTCAAAGTTGATTAATGTTGTTAATTGATGATGTTAGCATGCTAAGAACCTAGAAAGTCCATATTGCCCTCTGACTTTGTTAAAAAGACCAATTTATTCTTAAAAAATATTTTTAAAAATTAAAACACCGATTTACTCATTGGTGTATTATACCCTTCGGCCATGGAGAATAACAAACAATGCCCCCAATTCATCTATGTCATGTTGTAATTTATAGGGAATCCACCAACACCGTTGCAACAAATTGCGCCAATCACAGTATTATCACAATGAACAAGAATAAGCCCTAAATTGATGGTTTAAACCCAAGTACACAAAATATTAGCCGGCTAGTGGGGCCAATTTTTCCCTCCTCAATCACAGTGCATGGTAGAATGACAGATCGAGTTATGAGATAGAGATGAATAGAAAGAAAGGATAATGGCGAGAGAGATTAGGGTTTGGTAGGCGACGTTGGTCCAAAGACCAAACCAAGCCCTCCTTACATCATATTCCACATAATCATTAATGGACTTCTCATCTTCCTTAAACATATCTATAACAATCTCTCTTTTTTTCTTTTTTCTTTTTTTCCTGAATGGGATGATTTTTTATTTTATATAAAAACCATAAAGGTACAATTACAAAAGGAGGTCACTCCTCCAATACAAGTCAAGCAATGGAGTAACTCCATTATCAAAACAAAATCCAAAAGTCAAGGTTGAAAAATAAAAAACATAAACCAAATGAAAGCAAAAAGGAATCATCCTATTTTGACATGAAAAACATAACTCTGATGCAAAATAACATGTAAGACAGCCCAATGTGATACAGCAAATCCCAACTAACAAACAAACCCTGGCAAACACAATGATCAAGGTTGATTTAGAGCAATCTCTAACAAAACTGTCTAATGTGATAACCCAAATCTACACATTTGTTCAAGCACTCTGCAGCATATCAGCAAAAGCAATAACACACTAAACAAGACCCCAGCAAAAAGACAGAAAACAGAGCCTTCCTCATTAAAAAATGAGAAGGAAATCTTCAAGTCTGATTTTGAGATGAGTCAACACCTCCCAAATAATAGACTGTGCAGCAAGATGAGCTTAGATTTGATCTCCATTGTACAGTACTTCATTTCTGATAGCCCTGTGACATTTTCGATTTTCACCATTCTTTTTTTCTTTTTTTTTCTGGAAGTTTGTCCCCCCAAGGGCATTCTCGTCTTTTCACGTTATGTGTACGGGATTGTGGTTGGGTCCATTTGCATTGTGTACATTTTAAATTATGTGCATTAAGTAGTATTTGCATGTGGTGCACTTGTGTGTGTATGTAGTGTAAAAATTAAGGCAAAAAGAAAATGAGATAGTGGCGGGACCCACCACTAACCTATTCCTTGTCTTGAGACTACATTTTTTATCTCAACTCTCATTCTCCCGTAGCTCTCTTCCTCCCTTCCGTTTCCATTTCATTTTCCTTTTGTTTTGGCTCCAATCTTTGAGGCTTGATAACTTCTTCAACACTTGGTATTTTGGAATGCCGTTTGCGGCAAAACGGAGAGTACGGTGAGCTCTACGCATGGGTACCAACAATTTTAGTCTTTGTGCAGCCTAGGGAGTCCTAAAATCATGACCCATTGTGACAATTTTCGCATTTTAAGAGGTAGGGGCTTCCTAATTCACATTATTCATGCACCTTTGTGAGTTAATCTACATGAATTGTGTTATAGTATGCTTATTTGCGTTAATTGTAGCCTAAATTGTCTTGGTTGTATATATGTGAGTATGTGAAGACATGTCTTGATTGTGCTATATGAGAAGTATGCTTATATAATGAGTTTTATGCCTATTGTTTTGACGATCCTGGTTAGCGTGTCCTGTGATGAACCGTAAGGATGATCCGATAACGGATCAGAATGTGGAAGCGAAAACAGAAAACAAGACTCTAAGAAGTCAAAGTGACCTTTCATAAGGTCATGGAACTCAACAAGAACTGATGCGGAAGCAAAAGATAAAAAAAATATGACAAATAAGCCCCTTGGGGCAAAATAGTCATTTCTAAAAACTATAGATTCGGGTGCCACCGAGCATACCACTGGAAGGACAACGAAAAACTAATCAAGATGGACCCAAGAATCGCATGATTCGGAGTCCGAACGAAGGAAAAACAGCATGACGAAGAAAAATGAGCACTTAAAGCAAAAAGGGTAAACTGGTAATTATTCAGGAAGAACCGGGTGCAACTGAGCATACCGTTGGAAAGACAGTGAAAAATTAGTAAAGTTCAAAAAAAAATTCACTTGAATCAGAATCCAGACGAAGGAGAAAAGTCCAAAAGAAGAATTGACGTCGCGGTGGCCCGATGAGGCTTGAAACGGAGGTCAAGACGAGTTTTTCTAGAAAAACACGAAGAAGAAACCCCTCCTAAAATCGAGTTTTCTACCCGAAAGTACGGATGGAATGGAAAAAAACTCACTGTGAAATCCCAAAAATGCCCCTAGATCAGAACTGAACAAGAGGGTCATAAAGCTGCTAAATGAAAACTGGAAGCTGAAACTTCATGAGGGATTTCCGGTACCAAGACGACATTTTCTGGAAAAACACGAAGAAGAAACCCCCCCTAAAATCATGTTTTCTATTCAACCATGTCAAAAAAAGAAAATAAAATTGATGTGAAAGGTCCATAATGGCCTTAGATCAGAATATGCAAAAAAAATG